CAGAGGCGAAGAGCTCTGGCGAGCAGCACGGCTAAGGGGTCAGCTTGGTACTGCAGGAGGATTTAGTCCTAAATATAGCCGGGGCTATCCTGGGAGACAGGAGTGGGCTGTCGGGAGTTCAGTGCCATATGAGCAGCTTTAGGTTTTGAGAACAATGATCAGGGCTAAGGGGCTGATTCCCTCAATATGGGCCAAATCCTCGCTGCTGGCAAAAGCCCAGGCGAACAGGTTTTGTCTGGGAGGAGGGAGGAAACTCGGGGAGGATCTGGAAGCCTGGAATCCATTTTCCAAACAGGATACAATATCTAGGAGTTGCAGCGATGAAGGTAGCTCTCTCCACTCCTACACATGCTGTGGTACAGTTATGGGATGGAAACTATTCAACTCTGGCCCAAACCATTTGCAAGGCCATCTGCAGCTTCCTTCTCACATTTCCTTTGGCAATAATCCTGCCAAAAAGCTGTGCTCTGCCATGTATAGGAAAACGCAGAAACACTCACACATCAGAAATGAAATTCTGCAGCATTGGGACACTTTCTGTCCCGTGAAAGATGACAACAGAGCAGAACTGGGCTTGAGATAAGCAACCCACAATAAAAAGGAGCATACAGCATCTCCGTAATGAAGGCGATGCTGAGATAGGTATATCAGCCCTTCTTGGATGCCTACATGGAGAATATATCATGGATATAGAAACAGATCTGCAGTATTCCAAAATCCATAAACATTTAGGTTGTAGGATATCTATGGGCAGATCATCTTTTACGTGTTTTTAAAATCAGTGAGCTCTAGTCTTGGAGTCCGCATCACAAATACAAAACAAAATCTTAGAGCAGTGAACCCATCCAGACAGTAAGTGACACTCATACTGTAAATGGACTCATGGAGTCCTGGGCTCTCAGGTACAAAGGGTGTTTTTTTCATGAGCACTTTCTCTCACTACTCGGAAGAAACAGCTAATATCTGACTCTCACATGAACAAGAAATAACTCCTGCTCAGGACTTTAGATACAGCTACTTTTTTGCAGCCAAGTAGCACTACGCGCAGGACCAGAACAAAAGTCCCAGAGAACCAGAGCCTGAGCACTGAGTTCATTTTTTAAGCAAGCTAGAGACTCTTGGGAGTTTGGGAGTGTTTGGTACATGAGACACTGCTGCTGTTCATGCAGGGCCCCACCCCACCTGGCATGATCTATATCCCAAAGAACAGGTAGCTTATTCTGCTGTGTGCATATGTTGACCATTCTTGTCACATCACTCTCATGATCTTTCATCTGGAAAGACCTGTTGTCACTGCATGTGCAAGGTGGCAGCTCGCCCAGGGCTTTTTCCTAGCCCTTTCTCTGGCTGTGTAGTACAGAGAGGAGCTAGTGTAGAGGGTAGGTCGCTCCCTAATGCCTTAACAGACAGAAAGGCAATAGCTGGACAAAAGCTACATGTTAGGTATTGGTCATAAAACATGACCACCACAAATGAAAACACAAGTACTGGATAAAAGTAGCACTTTATGATTTATGGTGTGTATAAACCTTAAAAAAGAACATCTCGGGAAACTAACACTAAATATATACTATGATGTAGACCTCTGCTTCAAGGTTTTGGCTCTGTGCAGTAAGAGGCATGCAAGCCTAACCCTTCATACGCTCACTTCCCTATTTTTGTTCCATCCATCTAAATGGTCTTCTAGGTATACTTAGCGCCTCTGCTATTTAGATTCTGTTTGGTTATAGGTTGCTTTGTAAAACCCAAAAGGGAAGAAACCTGCCATATACATGTATATTTATGTGTGTGTATATATATATATATATATATATATAAAAGGCAGATACACAGGAATAGCTCTTTGATAGGACCAGAACGTAAACTGACCAAATCAAATCAAGACTTGGAGCAGCTGATAGAACGACTTGAGTCCAAATCTGTGCCAGGTGCATTTCTAGTTTGATCAACTCCAAGTTTGGCACTGCAGTCTAAATCTACTCTGGAATTACCCAAGGATATGCACAATATTGTTAAAATCCCTAACTGAGCTGGGATTAGAAGTGAATTCCCCTGAATCATCTTCACAGAAAACAATAGCTGACTAGTTCAGGTAAGGGAAAGTCAATTTAAAACTCTGTTTTACTTGTTAAAGAAGAAAAATAAACACAGCAACAATACAAAACTCTACTAAGCAAACAGAAAAGTAATTGCACGAACAACTATGTGGCTCACCTTATTTTAGTATTCCTGGCTCTGAACCTTGGCAGTAAATGCCCCTACAACCAAACATCAATATCAGGAAACATAACACATTCTTGTGATAGCTGTTTACAATGCCAAGGCCTGTGGGACTGAGAGAGGGATTAAAGACTTTCTGAAAGCAGAAAAACATTACAGGGAAGGAGATAGATCCTAAGATGGGGAGGGGAAAAAAAAAGTTAAAAAAAATCATAATGTGTTGTACAGATAAAACATAATTGCCACAGCCACAACTTGGTTACCCACTAAAGCTGGGGTTCCCCTATTAAAGGTGAACTGGTCTGGTTGTCACAGCAGCTTCATTAGTCAAAAGATTGGCTAAAAGATTTGGGCAGACTGGAACTTATTTGCCTTCTAGAGCTGTTGGTGGCTGCTTCATTTTATGAGGCCCCACACTCGTTGCTCAATGATGCTGGTAGCTCCTATAGAAACATAGGTGCTGCAAAACAGCTCAACTGATCTGTTTGATTGAGCCAAGCTTTCCCCACGGTGCCCCTGCCTTAAAAGCTGCTTTGGTCCCCACTGGACTGGGGGACTGCCTGGGGCTAGGAGCCAAGGCAGCACTGGGAAGCATTTCCATTTAGTGTTAAAGATCTGGAAACTGCTTTGGTTATAGCACGTTCGCTAGCCTGAAGGTTTGCTGTGTTCCACCTTTCCCTTCCCAAGCATGGTACATGGCTCTAATTCCAAAGCTTTTTATGCAGAACTAACATTTTATGGGTCTCCCAGGTGCTATGGTGCCACATCACCTTCTCCTGTTTTCCCACTGCAGGACCTGCTTTCATCTCCTTCTCAGCCCAGTCAACCCTTTTCTTTCCTCTAGTTCTTAGTGTCCCCGAGTTGCAGGCATTCAAAGAATGCGCTGTTCTGTAAACTGTTTTTTTTCCCTTGTTCTTTATTCACAAGGACATTTACGTTGTTTTCCTCTTTGTGCTAAAGCTACCCAGGACAAGACAAACTCATATTTTCCCTCCCACGGCAGGGTGTTTTGACTGTCCACGTCTAGTTTAATCCGTAGGAATGTGGGATGTGTGGGAGCTCTCCTGGGCCTCCGGTGCCAGCGTGCCACGATCGGGGAGCTGGACATCCACCTGCTGCAGCTTCAGGAGACTGCGGAATCGGCGAGGCGGCCAGGAAGAGCTGCCCTGAGTGCTCTGCCATGTGCAAGGAGGGAGCCTGGCTTCACCCGGCCCATCGCCCCATCCTCTCCTGGCACAGACAGCGTCTCCAAGGGGGTGACCTGAAGCTTTGGCCTCATACCCGTCTTTCAATGAATCAAAACAGATGAGCTGAGGGCATCAGTCAGTATATTAAAAAAAAATTCCTCTGAAATAATATTAACCCAAGGAGCTAGAATTACAGCCTAACTGTAAAAGCTCCAGCTTGATTTCATCAACTCCCCTTTGAATTGCAATTACATTTTTTAACTGATCGGTACAAGCCTAAATTCCCACTGTCTTCCACTGATTAAATACTCATTGTCAAAACATCCATCTTATTCTCAGTACTTTACTTATCAATTTAATCAATGCCCCCCCTTAAATCACCTATCTGCTTTAGTCTGCTTTTTACCAGCATCTTTATCTTTTTTTTCAGGTAATGCAAATTTACAGAAGTTCTTGCTCAGCACAGCTGCAAAGGAAAAAAAAAAAAAAAGAAAAAAAAAGAAAAAAAAAGAAAACCCACTACAAAAAGAACATTTAAAGTGCTTGAAGTTCACAGGGGACTGGTCTGAAATTTTGTGTACATCACTTCTACACTGGCCCCAAGGAGCAGGATCGCATTCCGGAAAACACAGTATTTGATGCAAGCTTGAAAAATCCATTGTCTAACCTTGTATAAGTGGTCCACAACATCCTCCATGAGTCATTGAGCAGTATTTTGTTACTAGAGTATTTTGAAGAGCTGCCTTTGGACATCAATTATAAGGGGGGGGGGAAAGGGATTCTTTTCATGTGCTGTAGGGTTTTACTTCATGTTTTTAATAAAAATTATTATGAGAATATCTTTTAACTGTGTCCTTGAAAATATTTGCCAAATGATCCCTTTCCTTTTTCTTTGTTAGCCTATATACATTTCCACTTTTTTTTCCAGAAGGTTATGCTGTCTTAATTCTTCCTTGTAGCAGTTTTTCATAGATTTTCTGTATTCCTGAAGGCATTTTCTGTGCACAATTTATCTGAAAAAAACCTCTGATAAATCTGGGGCCCTCAGGAGCCAAGGATTAAGCACACCGCATTGCTCCTGTCCTATCCTTATCCTAAGGTATTGTCTGGTAGACAAGTTTCTAGTTGTGTTGGAGGAAGTTGCTGCACTTGGGGTTTTTGGGGAATATACGTGTGGGGATCTAATTAGATAAAATAAATAAATGATAGAACAAGTTATCACAACTAGACTTTAGATACGCTATCAACCACTCTGTAAACATGACAGACTTTAGTGACAGGGAATACGGAAAGCCCAACTGAACTTTATGGCACTCTTTCATCTTTGCTTTCTTTGAGACTTTGCTCCAGCTCACTGCACCTTGCAGACTTGTAAATTTTGGAACATTTGTTCCCAGGGGAGAAACATTAGCCTGCTATAACTGATAGATTCACAGAAAATATCCTTTGCACAGCTTGAGCAGATATCCTCAAAGGCACTTCCAACTGTGCCTCTCCTTTTTCTTGCAGGTGAATGGTAACAATGTGAAAGGGGAATATTGCAGTAAAATAGGGGCCTTGATTAGCAACAGTTCCATAACATCAAGAACAAACCTGTGCATCTTCATACGTGTATCTGCCCGGGTCTTTGACATTTTGGCTTGTTTTTTCATAGCTGTGGGAATCCAGGTTGATAGCACTTTGGGCCCCAGGAGCTAGAAACTCTTGCCAGATTTCCTCCACTCTTGCGGTTACATCCTGTAAAGGTTGTTTTTTGAGATCCTGGACTGCCAGCCAAAACCTAGTAGTGGGGAAAATGAAAAGGGGAGGGAAAGAAGGAAGAGGGGAAGAGAGACAAACACTCAGATAGGCCGTTTGTGGAGAAGTCTAGAAAAAGCCCTGAACCCCAGCTGTAGCATCCAATCCTACAGTCAGCCAAATTAATGGAAGCCTTTCCATCTAGCATGATTGCAAGGGGAGGTGTAAGGTGCAATCCGCTTTACTCCAAACCATTGCAATGTGGCTAAGATCCGAAAAGCAACTCCAAAAAGCAACACATTTTTACTCAAACCCTACTGTTCCTATTGACAATCTCCCCAGCAGTGTGGCATTAGGTATGCCAACGGGAAACTTCCAGAGCCAATGCCCCTGAGAGAAGGGGCGCGGATTCTGCTTCCCACAGCCCTGCTGGAATTTGCTTATGATTTCTGCCTGCAGCATCTGTCACTGGGAGGTGATACAAAACACAGAACAAACTTAATATTCACATCATTCCCAGAATGAAGTTGTAGCACTGACACTTAGAGAAATCTTTTTTTTTTTTTTTTTTTGGACTTGTAAACTGACCAGTATTCAGATGGATGTCACTGAAAGGTGAATACAGAATCCTGTTATGACCACATGCCAACTTTACCGAGATATTTTCTTGGCTAAATCCATAATGATGGACTAAAATGAGCCCAAGAATATAGAGGACGTGATTCCTTGAAGGGCTAAAGGTATAATCCCCATTGCGATCTTTGAAACGAAAGGCCTTGGAAAAATTTCTGAAAGCATGAGAAACACCACCTTTTAACTTAGAAATAAAAGGCGCTTTGCTGGTGGTGCTGGGTTTAATTTCTTTTACCTGCAATATGCTCTTCCAGGTGATAGCCCAGAAGAAGGTTGGCCCCTAGTGGCCTGAAAGTCTGATTTCCAATCCCAAATTACTCAAGGATGCCAGTCTGCTACCACTGAAGCAAATACTCCCCCATAGCAAAAGGAGAAAGATACAGTCTCTTCTAAAGGGAAAAAAAATCCCCTTTGATAGTGGGGGCAGACAGATGGAGGAGCCAGACCCTCATAATTAATGTTCTGCTTCAGGCCTCTGCTTCCTCCTAGCTCCGGGCAGGATTTCCTGGCGCAGTACATAAATGTCACAGAAACACTGGGGTTACCGCAATCAAAGGTGGCTGCTGATGCATTGAGCCTGCTGCCTTCCCTGTAACACAGGGAAACTGCCCGTCTCACAGACAGACAGACAGACATCCGTTCTGCATGCAAGGGCAGGGTAAGCCATCCTTGTGCATCCCTGGCCTCCCCGTACCTCTGGCCCGAGTCACAGGGATGCAGCAGCATCTTGCTCCAGCCACACCGCTAGCCTCGCTGCAGCCCGCGCGCGTCCCCGTCCTCACAGCCCCGCTCGCTCTCACCCCAGTGCAGAATCTAGTCTTTTAGATCTGGTGAAACAAACTGGGACTGTGCTCAGACCACTACATCAGCACCTTCAGAGCCAGGAGCTGGCAATGAAATCTAGCTTTATAAGCAGAAATGAAGCATTTTGGGCTGGGGAGATGCAAGTCCATGAGCGTGTGTGTGTGCTCTGGGGGATGGCCCTCTCTCTGTCTTGAAGATGTTAAGATAAGGTTGCCTGATGTCCTGCCTGGTTATGTGTTATTATCGGAATAATAACTGTCACCCCATTTGTCACATGTACACAGAGAAGAGGGTGGCGCTCAGTGATAAGATATGAGGCCAAATGTGAATTTCTTCACATTGAAATTATTTTATCATTCCACTTCAGATGTTCACTTAATATGTGAACACAAAGAAAAAAAAAGGTGGAAAGAAAAGATGCATTTCAGGGTAGCTGAGACACCAAAGACATTCATGGCTAGAAAGGGCATTTTCTATTGGCTTATCTCCCGGCCAGCTGGGAAAGCATGGTTGTGGGGAGAACTGGGAACTGCATAAAGTGACATCTTGCCATCCTTTTTAATAACCATTTGGCTCAATCTGAAAATCAACCAACCAAACCAACCTGACACTAACAAGCTCTTTTTACTGCAAGCGATTGCAAATTCATGCCCAAGGCTGGACTGTCCTCTTCAAGGCAAAAGCGAGTTTTGTCTTGGTAAAAATTTCAAAGCTATTCACTCTGCCTGGTATCTGAAAATCAAGAAACATCAAAGAGGAACACGCAGCCCTGCAGCCTGGAGTTCAAGGCAAATTCTCTGCCGGGAGGAAGCCGCTGGAATCACCTTGGGATGCACTGTGGTATCCAGGGCATAAGCAGGATGCACATGGGATCCCTAGAGCGCTCGCAGGAGCGGGGCAGGTATTTCTGCCCTGGAAAGGAGCAGGATGTGCAGGATTACGGCGTGTTGGCGACTCCGGAGCAGAGGAGCCGGTCCGTGCGCGGCGCCGCGGTGGAGCATCCCTGCCGCCTGCTGGCCGCGCGCCGGGCTGGCGAGCCGTCGCCCTCCGCGCGGGGCCACTGATTCCAGCCCAGGAGCAAGGAAAATTAAGGAAAAATAACGTTGGCAAGGTCTCCTCTAGGATATAAATGCTTCCTGCATGTGAAACGTTTTCCCAGGTGACTCGCTCTCCCAAAGGCCTTCACAGGGGCATCTTGGTGAGTGTCACCGCACGTAATCCTGTGACGTGCCGGGTGCTCTGCAGCTGGCTCTGCTGCCTCCTTACCCTTTGGGGAAGACTAGGGTATCCCAGATTCCCACCTAGCAGTTTCTCTTTCCAGCTGACACACTTTGGAGCTCTGGGAAAAAAAATCAATCCACCAGTTAGATGAACATCTCAGCAATCTCAAGATGTCTCAAGAGGCTTGCAGGTCTTAAAAAAATTTATACAGCTCTCTGTTGGCCTTTTTTTTAATTTTTTTATTTTTAATTGAAGCTTGGCGTTCTGTCTGGGAGATTTCTATGCATTTCAGAAATCAACAGAGGCAAAACAAATTGTAGGCAAAAGACAGTGACAGAGAAGAGAAAGAAGTGCAAGAAAAAGAGTTAAAATAAAATAGACAGAAAAAGCACAACTGCCTGGCTTTCCTGCTCTCACATAAATAATGGACTGCCAGCAAATAAATAAGCCACAGGGCTCAGCCAAACCCGGGAGACCGGTGGACATGATCCTGCAAATTTATTAGGATGTGGAAGCCTGCTGGAAAGGGAACCGGGCGGTCAGCAAGTCCCAGCTGCTGCTCTCTCACACAGTGCCCCACAGGCCACCTCCACCAGGACCAATTTGCTCAACTGGAAAGATACTGAAATACCCCACTGCAATCCACCCAGTGGTCTGGGAGTCATGAGAGCAGAACTGGCCCACTTGTACTGCTGAATTCCTGACTTTCACTTCAAGGAATTGCAGACTGCATGAGATCTCCCGGCACGCACTACCAGGAATGGCTGGGCTTCTCCAGCACCTGCTCTCTTGGCTCTGCCTTGAGGACAGGCAGTGCCAGCATTAGTGACGATCCCACTGACACTGCCCAGAGAGGCCGCGTCCCCGTGGTGACAGTTCCCATGTCTCTGCATAGCTACTGTGAGAAGGGTCCTTACAAGATACCCACAAAGACAGTTTTGCTAAGTGGATGCTAGATCACATGCCCTCCAAAAGTTCCTTGCAACTTCACAGGCTTTGGGTGGGCTGCCTCTCACTTGGCTGCAGACGTCTACAATGCAGACACTGTCATTTGAATTAGTCTCTCCAGGCTTATAGATGGTGGGGAGACAGGCACTTTGCAGTGCAATTTCCCTGCTTTTAGATGTTCACTTTAGGCTGAAACTAATCCTCCCCTAGCGCAGGGTGATTCATCGACTCCTCTTCAGCTTCTTGCTGACTGTAAAGGCAGCCTCGATGCTGGTGTTTCCAAGCTGTCTGCTTAGCAGAGGTAGACCCCAACCTTGGCGTGGGGTGTAAGTTAAACTCTGCTTGCTTGCTGGAGCATCCCAGAGCTGCCTGCCTTTCTAGCACACGCTCCTAATGAGAATCCAAGCGCTTTCTCTGCCACACCTGTCCCCTACACCCTACCTGCGGCTCCTCAGTTCTGCTCACAGCCCCTCCTGCTCTAGCTTTCCACATGGATACTTCCCCTTCGTGTCCTGGTGAGGTGTCGTTTGCAGCCCTCAACAGGTTTGTTAATATTGACCCTATGTCACCAGGTAATAATCATGCCACACCAGGCAAACCCATGACAATGATACTCTAAGAATGGCAATAATGGTGCCAGATGAACAGCGATACCACAGTCTGCCAGAAAGGACGCGGGACTTCACCTCTCCCTACCGCCCTGCTCTGCAGCATCCGTTTAGTACAACCTACCTCAAAACCTGATGGCACATCAGCAAGAGCAGCAGCTGGGACTGACTATGAAAAATAAATATGTGCTTTCTAACAAGGAAAGTCTCCCTACTTGTTTGAGTAGGATGAGTGTGGGGACACCCACCGGTGTAAAACCTGCTGGGTTCCAATAGTGCAACCCCAGGTATATTTCAGAAAAAACATTTTAAGGAGTATTTCAATACAGAACCCTAATCTTGCACATCATCACTACAATTCAATTCCTAACGAGTGCCACTACGCATAACTGCAGTAAACATATACAAGCTCAATAACTGTTCAGCAATACAATGTCAGGCTCACATATGTAATTTAATAACACTCCCTTGTTTACGGTACAAGTAACTTCCAGATTTTAAAAAATGACAGGCATTAAAGTGTATTGATTTTTCACTGTTTTGCTGCTAGTGTGCGCTCAGTATTTCTCACTGGGCAAAGAAATACAATAGTTAGTTCCCATGTAGTTTAAAGGCACTTCCAAGGGAATCTCACTTCCAGATCTCACACGCTAGCAGATTGCCATGACGTGGCAATTGCCCATGTACTTTATTAACATACTTGATTCTCCGAGAAACGAAGAAAACAAAATCAGCACAACCAAGTTTCTAGCAAGTGAAAACTGAGAACGACATCAAGCTCGCTATGAGAAAAGGCACAAAACCAAAAGAACAGCCAAATTATATTGCTGCTGGATCCTTCCGTGTCTCCCAGACCAAGCAGGAGGAAGTGCAGGTGAAGACCATCACAGATGCTTCAGAGAGGCTGGGGAGCTCATGCCACGTGCCCTGCTGCTAACAGCCATCCTCCCACTTCTGCAGAAATGGGCAAGCATAGCAGTAAACCTGGCTTTGTCGCATGCAAGTGAGAGTCTGAACCATAACCCCAGTCAGGGGTTATCAAAACCTCAGTATCAGCCTCTGCTTGTGCCAGGCTGGCTCTCTGGTTGGCATGAGCCTTCTCCCATCTTCTCTGGACTTTGCACCACAGAGCAACAAAGGCATTTAAAAGCCTGCAATCCTTCACGTTAATCCTAATGATAACCCCAGACACATTTTAAGTATAATCCTACAAACCCTAATTTCTCAGAGTGCACAGCACTATACTTGCTTTGAAATTGGGTTTACAGCAGCGCTACAGAAAACCATGGAAGGGTTGGATCTTCTAACAATTATTTTCATGCTGGTTCTTGAAAATGGTAACTTACTATTGCTACACACTGTTGTTATTGCTGGAGTAGCAGAATTGTGCGCAGTGGATTTAGAGGCTTTAAATTTGAGGTAGAATCATACGACCATCTACGTAACATTTCATAATAAAAGTTTTGTTTTCTTCAGAAAACAAGGAAATTAGGCATCCTGCATAAAAAAATATTACTACTAAGGGAGAAAGGCCAAGCTCTCCAATAGTTAGGAGGTGCCAGAAGAAACCAGTGCAAACCTGACGTGCTGAGCAGCAGTACCGCAACAGTCCTTGGGCACACGATCACCAAATCATGTTCTACTCACAGGACCCCTGCCACAAATGCACACACAAACCCTATATATTTATACCGGGGACAAGTGCTTGCTTGAGGGCTTACTCAAGCTATATACCATCTTTTACCACTCGAACACATTGGCAGACCTCTGCCTATGATGCTGGACAACACTGGCACTGCTAAACACTGTTCCCGTGTTTATTTACACTATTCTAGTATAAGCACCAGCAGCTGTTCTATAGGCCACATCTGGCTGTTTTCAAATTGGTGATTTTAGCAGTTCGGAGTCTAAGCACTGCATTTCACCTATGCATGAGAGCAGGATTAGCCCTGTTTTTCTAGTTCAAGTCAAAGGTTTCACCTGAGGTTTTCTGAGCTGAATTCTGATTCCAGGAAACGAAGGAACTGGTCTCGTCCTACGGGGTCCTTGAGCACTTCATCCATAGAGAAACCCCATCTTTTCACACGCTGCTGGCTGGGTTCTTTGCTGTTTGGAGAGAGAAGGAAAAAAACAGATGGAATGTGCATTTCTGCCTGCTGTCCAAGCAGCTGCCACTGCTCCTACTGTGCAGCAAAGGGAGGGAGATTATCAGAGCAGGAGATGCTGTCTTCTCAAGATTTTGCAGAAATACAAGCTAGCAATAACATACAAAAAGAAGCTATAAAGGCCAGTGTAATTGTTAATGCAATTGTTTTATCTGGGTGCTGCTTTATACAGCAAGAGGAGAGAGAGCACATGATATTATTTTCAGAGAGTAATTTCTTATATGTTTATATTAAAAACAATATTCTGGCTGATCATTTGTTGTGCATTTCTTATGTACCTTCTTGAATGAACCTCACTAATTTCTTACATGCCGAGGCAGAGATTTGCCAGCAGCGCTCGTTGGGTCCCTGGGGAGCTCAAGAGCACCTCCTCGCATCTTACCTTGCTCTAGCTGGTCACTTGGAACTGGCTTTGGATTTTCAGTTGCAGATTTGCATTAAAAAGGCAGGTTCATGAAGAAGGAGCGAGACCACGATTTCTAAAAACAGCCACTGGTGTGTGGGCTTTTATTTTTCAGTGCCTCTGATGTCTGGATGCCTAACCTGGGGATGATTAGAAAGCACTCCCCAAGCCACGGTAATTGGGCTCTTGTTTGTGCCTCTTCTGGGAAACCGAGATGCCGAGGCACCCAGAATTACTAATGACCTTGCTCCTAAATCATTCTTAATAAAGCCCTGCTTACATAAGCTATTGTTTGAATTGCCAGACATGTTGCTGAGACGCCTACGGGGAGAGGCAGTGCCTGGGAATGTCAGAGAAGAGCCTTCATGACGGCCTCTGCACACCAGAGCGTACGCTGGGCGCACACGGCCTCTGAGAGCTGCTGGTGCCACGGTGCCATTCCAACCCCGCTCGGCTGCTCGCACGCGCGGCAGCACAGCCCTCGCTGGCTGCACGTATCCATTAACCGGCCCGTCCGCAGCAACGCCTCATGCCAAAGCCTGGAGGGACAGTGGCGATCTGTGCTGAACACAAATCAGCTGAGGGGGTAAATAAAACGCCTGCTTTCATTTCCCCTTAGTGCAAAGACAAAGCAGAACTGATGGGCATGCCCTTACGCGATGTGCATGGAGCTCGGGCTGCTCCTCCCATGTCTGCCCGGGAAGTGCAACGCGGAGGGCAGCAGCACCGAGGTAGCTGCCTTGGTGCCGAGCGAGCCAGCCCAGACCCGGGGACAGTGCAGCCACGGCCACCCCGTGCCGTGTGTCACCTCAGCTCAGTGACTTTCCTGTCCAGTTCAGAGAGCAGCAGCTACTGCAGCGTGCAGCCGTTGCATAACGCTGTTGCATGAACTGGGAAGACCCAAATGCTGTCCTGAATGGAAGGTTTTAGTGGCAGTTCCCAAGCCCTGAAGTGCCACAAAGGATTAACTGCAGCGGCACCGCGCTCTGCATGCTCGGAGAGACAGGGCTTTTGCAGGAGCAGTGTGAGCAGTTTGGTTTTCCTGAACAAGGGCTCTGCTTTCCTAACTGAGGAAACAGCTTTGCAGGCAACACAAGGGGCTACCACAGCTTGCAGGGATCATTTAATTATTCACACAAGTTGCAACTAGATGTGGATGCAGTGAGCGAGTTCTCCTACAAGAGAAGATAAAACGGAAACAGATCTGTGTGTTCTTCTGCCTCTCATCAATACTGCTTTCGCTTTTGAATTCTGACTCACCTTCCTATCATAGCGGGTACTATGCATTTACTTTAAATTTGTATCAAAACAATGACATCTGGTTAAATTGTATTGCTCAGGTATACTGAAATCTTTTTGATGACTTCCAGCTACCTCAGCAGATGCAGAATTAATGGATGCCTGGATACTCGGTGGATGGCAGTTCATCCCAAGCAGTAATCTGCAGAGGTGCCTCCATTTCTAAACTCATGAGAGAGGGATGCAGAAGACGACAAAAGCTGAGTAAAAATAAACTTGAACTATGCAAATTATGCAAAGATTAAGTAAAAGATTTACAGATTTCTATGACATCCAGAGATGTTGATGAAAAAACTTTCACGTCCCAGATCACTTAAACAGGGAAATGATTTGCCCTTTTCCTGGGACACTGTTTCCTATGGGTTCTTTGGGCTTATATTGACTTTACATTATGACATAAATACAGATACAATCAGCTTCAACAGACTCTTCTTAAAGATTTGTTAAAGTGAAGTCCCAGTTCAGATTTGATGCTCAAGAACAGGAGGAAGACAGGCAGCCAAGAACTACCAGGACTTGGCCAAGGAATGTCCCCCAGTGAGCTGTGCAGTACTGCACCATGGTACCTGGTGCAGCGAATTGCAGCATCTGGCTACAAATCCAGCTCTCAAGTCTTACTCCAGACTTATGCTAAAGGCCAACCAGGCTGGGAAGTGAAGAAAATGACATGGTGCTTTTTGAGGATGCTGTTCCCTTCTATGCCACTAGGCATTGAAGCAGGTACACTTTAACATACAGAAAAATTAGCAATACACCCTAAGTTACTAAAGTTTACCAAGTAAAAAGCACCTCTTACCTCATTTCTATGTCCCACAAAGCCACATCGTCACTTATCCAGGGATTGGAAGGCTCAGCAGAAGTTATAAAGGGGTCATATTCCACATATTGCTCTGAGTAGGTTATTAAACTGACAGATAAAATAAACATAGAAAAAAGAAAAAATATCAGGACCTTAATGTGTAGTTGTATATCAAAAGCTATAGCTTTCAGTAATTTTTTTTTTTAATGGTGTGTTGCTATTTTTCTTTACTTGCAGATGGGTCAATTCCTCAGCAACCCTCAGAGTTGAGCTCTGCATGGAAGGATTTCTCTGTGAACACCCACCAACTCACTGCAATATTCTCCTCAAGCTTGGCTCTGTTGAGCTGCCTACAAAAACCCTGATGAGGCAGCAATGGGACTGGTAGGACTTATCTGGGAGAGCGCTGGGATGACTCCGCACCTCGTGCTCCCCTCTTCGGTGGCTCCATGCTGCTTGTAGCCTCTTTTGCACCCATTTGTGTGTCCTTTGCACTCATTTAACTTCACCCATTTTTAGTCACTCACCCAGGCAGGGTCATGCACTATAACTAAGCTTAGGCTCAAATCTTTGCAGGATCACAGCTCTGAGCATCAGATCTTCAGTTTATGGATCATCTTTTTGTTATTTTGGCACACTGCCTAGCACAGTCAGTATCTTGATATACTTCATCAAGAACTTTTATTATATTTTAAATTAATTATTATAAGATATGCATGTTGGAAAAAAAGAAAGTGGCATTTATACCAATTTGTTTCATCACTAGTCAGATAAGACAACACACAGCAATCTCTAGCCCTTACTAGGAGTTCTGGAGCCCTCCCTGGGGAAATAACTACTCATTTGCAGAAACAATTCAGGAATTCCTGAATTGGGACAGGGACTAGGGGGGACATTTTTACAAAAGGGAGACAGCTTATACGAAATCAAGAGACATTTGCCTTAGTCTATATGTTAAGCTTCTATATGTTAACTATATGTTAAGCACACTAAGCTTCACTTTACATCTCTTGCCTAGCCCTGTCAACTAATTAAATAAGTTGATTGAGTCTTATCATACTGAACAATTAATTTACTTTCACTGTGCCTGTCCATACTAAACTTTATCTCAGTTTTCCACCCTTCAACAAGGCAGAAGAATTAAAAGACCCTGTGAAATAAAAGGTCACAAAAGGCAGAAACTTTCCCTGACCTGCTCTACAGCAATTATTCTTTTTGTTTGTCCAAGCTCTTATCACGAGGCATTAAAATCATACACTTTTGTAACCACAGCAGGTTCCCATTGCCCCTCAGGGCACTTGGGGCTGTCTCATCTCATTTCATTAATTACATTTCATGACTGCTGTGGGTCAAAGGTTGGAGGAAGGAGCAGCGTCCAATTTCAGAGAGCGGCAGCAATCCCTGAGACATCAATGAGAGAGGGTTGATCAAAACAAATCCAACAAAAAAGAATCAATTGGGAGTTGTCTGCTGTGAAATGTGAATTGCTCCTAATAAAATAATAAGAAGGCATCTGAGGAGCCACAAGCACTAGCAAAACCAACCCCCACCCCCAAAGTAAATGAAACAAGGGGGAATTTGCTGAATGCCTCTTGCTGATTCAGCACAATTGCAGCAACTGAGTCATTGCCAGGTTGCAAACAAGAGGCTAGAGGCAGGATGAACCTTATGGGAAAGCATTTCTGCCCAAATGCAAGCCTGGACTTTTGGTCTCTCCGGTGAGGCAACGTAATTCGGGTAGGAGAGGCAGTGGTAGTGGTTCACTGAAGAGTGCAGAGATCAAATGGAGCACCAGCCTGTCTTGCATTCAGGGGGCCTGCTGAGCCTTCACAATAACTTTGGGAAACTGAAAGGATAACGCAGAATCGTTACAGATCTTCCTCTAGTGACCTGCCATTACTGCTGGTAGGAGACTCTTGGGTTTTCCTCAGCCTTTTCTATAATGCCACATACGATGGGTTTGCATCAACGCTGAGCGATGCAGTCAGGGAAAGCAGGGGGTAGAATTTATTGACAGTTTTGCTCAATAGCTCTCAAATCTCCATGCCAAATCCTAAAGCCAACAGTGTGCAGGTCCCAAACGGCAGGAAAAGGTCCCTTTTCAGGGAATTGCAACTTCCCTGCACACATAGCCTTTTCCTTTCTGTTATGTTACACTTCTACTTATGATAATGTTAAATGACATTATAGTAAATAATAATGCACATAGTGAAATAAAATTTTAAAAAAGAGGATTAGCTATCTGTGTATAATTAAGCAATTAGGAAACTTTATACTATGGCATCATTAGGCCAAAAATCTTCAAAAGCAGCTAAGAATGCTGATGCCCTGTCCTGAGGCATCCTTAAAGAGCTGATCTTTTCGGAAGATGCTCTTTAGCACCTCCTGGAAACCAAACCCACACAATACATTACAACTGCAGTTTCAACATCACAGGCTCCCTGACTTACAGCTAGTGAGGGTTTGGAAAAGGCAAATCAAAAGGAAAAAAGTGCAATAGAGGATGGGTTCTGATAAATACCCCTTTGCTTCAAAAATATATTCCTCCAAAATTCTAGTGAATTTACATCAAAATGTATCAAAAGGAAGTTAAAAACAGACTGAATATTTTCAAAACAAGTGAAAAGTTTTGATTGTCCCAATCTAGTTTTCTTTTTTCCTAGATTACCAGTTTGCATAAATTTTGATAGATTATTTTATCCCTCAGTTTGGGACCAATTAAAAAAAAAAAGTTCTTCCACACTTCCAGATCAGGAAAATTGTTTCCTATCTAGATCTGCCGCAATCTAATAGATTGGTGTTTTCAAATCTGGGTATTTACACTATTTACACTATCAGCAGCTCCTTATAAACTTGTTAAGAGAACAGGAAAGAATGTCCACAGAGGATGATTTTTACTGAGCCCATCTTAATGAATAAATACAAATCGAGCAAAAATTCAAGACAGATGGATCTGCTTGCCTGTAAATTACCAGCCTGAAAATTATTACTGCCTCAGGACATTAAAGTCACTGTGAATAAATTCAGTACAAAATAACACTATTTTTGTAATGCACACCTTTATCGTAATATAAGAGAACAGAAACAGAAAGCCCAAAACATAAATATAAATGTGCTAATTTCATAGTACAAAATAGCACCTACAGGATTACAGGAATCCTCTGAATATTTTCTTTTTAATTAGATAATTTTTCCTTTAAATTGTTAGTTTTTTTGAGCCAATAGGAACTTACTTTTTAGCTCCTCATTTAATTTGTCTAGCTTTGCATACGTATGCTAGTCAGCAGATCAGGCACTGGAAAGGACATTTCACAGAGTAACTTTTTTTTAACTGTTTAAATAAAAATTCCTTTAATATTTCTATACAAAGCATCTGCTCTTCTTATGTACATTACATTCAACAGTTTTGTTCTAAAAGGTGATGTTAGAGAAGAGTATGCTGATCCTTATGTTTACATAGGTGATTTCCCTGCAAATGTGCATATTTTTGAAGCATGAGCAAAGGAGCTGTCATTCACCAGAAGTTAAATTTCAGATTCTTCTTTTCTTGTTCATACTTTTCTAAACATTCATCAAGAATAAACATTCATCAAGACAAGTGGTGCCTTGATTTGCCACTGAGACACACTTGTCTCTTGAAACACCACTTTGTGTAGCACAGACACAGCCTAGTACTTCCCACAGAGTTTTACATATGTAAATGGGAGCAGAAACTCACCTTGAAACACAAATACGAACATGGACATGACTAACACATACACAAGAATGATGGGCACTCTGGGTTTACCCATAAAAGTAAAATGATTATTTTTAAACTGCAACATGAATAACTTCTTTTTTGTAAATAAACTGAAGGCTGGGGAAGGAGAAGGAAGAGAACCCCTGAAAGGGTTCTTCCTTTTCAGAGTCACCTTTTTCTTTTGACACCCTCATCTTTTACCTCTTTTTTTCAGTGGCAGAAGAGCAAGCACAGACATGTCCTTGGTGAGCAGAGGGGGACAGATTTGCTGCACCAAAACAGCATCAGCTTTTGTGCACTGCTGGGTGCTCAATTTTTGGAAACACCAAATCTGAGGTGAGGAAATATAGCAAACCATTCAGATGGAGACACTCACCTTTCTGCTACCTTGGACATCTTTAAACAATGTCTCTCTATCTGCATGTTCAGAAAATTTATCTGAGGAGAGAGATGACAAGGACATTAGCAACTCAGGAGTTCTTGAGGATGCATTGATCATAGCTCAACACGCCATTGATTTCTCATTCCAAACAGCTTGCAAGCAACTCATAAGGAAATGGGACCCTTCCCTAGGTATCAGAAGCAGCTTATTAATTGCTTCCAACAGGAGTTTCCATTTCATTTGGCAAGGCCCTGGAGGAAGCTTCAGAAGAAATAATTAAAAGTAGGAAAGGAAACACGCCTGTATTGGGGCCTGAAGTTCCTAGACTGCTCAGGGCACAGTGTGATCTCCTTTTTGCTCCATGTTCCCCTCCTCCATTACTGTCTGTAACTCTGACTGCCATCATCAGACAAATAATGGCTTTATAGTACATTTATACTGGGCTATAGTTCTTAACAGAAGCTTGATCAGTGTTCTGATTTGGTTCAGAAGTTTGCTCTAAAACTGTCTGCCTAAGAAACAGATGTAAAAGATGCTTTTACCTAAATGCTAACTTAGTGGTACCCTCATGCACTTCACTATGTGCTGTTTGTTGCACCAAACGTCACTGGGAGCCAGAGGCCCCTGGGCTGCAGCAAGGATGCATGTGTGGGTGGGTGGCCATTCCTTGGGAGGATTGTGCAAATGATTTTTTCTGACCTCCCTAAAAGCCCATGCCCTGATATGCTGCCTATTCCCCTCTCCTTCGTTACTGCCCACTTTTGAGATATCCTGAAATTCACCTATCTGCCAGCCCACATGGTGAATAATACTAGATTGGATGGTCAGGATACCAGGCATGCACGTCACTGCGCAGCTCAAATAGTATTATCTGCAACTATTGACTACTTTACATAATAAAGCATGCAAGAATCAAACATAGCTAAGGTATACAATTGGTTTTCCTGATAATTCAGTAACTTTATCCTTTTATTCAGATAACAAGTCTGATTTTGCAGGTGGACTTAGGGTTCAGAGAAGATGCTGTATGCTGCTCACTTGCTTTCGGAAATCCTCTTTTGTAGTTTTGTGTACAGGTTGGGAGGGCACGTGGACAGGACTTTGGGGCTGAGGCTCCTCAGTAACTCCATATACTGACTGTAAAGAACCAATGCACAAACAGAAGGGGTTATTACTTTCTCTCTGTTACACAACAGGGAAGAATGCAATACATATACCAGTAAGGTAACAAGTCAGCAACTTCCTACTGTTTCTTTCCAAGATGTGAATAATTATTTAGCCAAGAGCAAAATTTACAAATCAGACTGCATTTGCAAACACCTGCACTTGGGAAGTCTGCAGACATGTTAACTGAAACCTGGGGGTTTCAAGCATGACCTTGTTTCCAATAAAACTCTTATTCCCATTAGGTAGGAGGTGAACGCTCTGTGCTTCTGCAACCCACAGGCTTGTTTCATAGCAAGCAAAACAGGGTTTGTTTTAAATATTAGAATGCAGATGATAATTCTCAGAGGCCCTGAGAACTGTGGGTCTCAGTGTTTGCAGGATGAGCCCTGGGAAATGTCACCGTGTTGAACCAAGCAGAGAGAGACCAAAAAAAATACAGGAATCTAAGCCCAAGTCATTTTCTTCCCAAGTTATATTTCTTGTCATAAAACTACACATTAAGGAGCAAACTTAACCAGGTGTCAGTGGGTCAAGTTCACATGAACTTCTCTAAATGAAAACCTGCAGATTGACGGGTAGGACACAGATCTGCACTACAAGTAGTATTAGTTATCCTTTCCTTCAGTACATTTTCTTTTTATTTAATATTTGTAAGGGATGTTTATGGTTCTACTGCAATTAACTGCCAGTGGAAATTAGGAATCTACTGCTGTCTCCCAAACTGACATATACTCATCAAGGCTAAAACTTGCTGGAAGTCAAAGGTACCCAAGTTGCTAATGACCTGGATTTTGAAATGATTAAGCAATTGGCTCTGAAAAATCTGTCCCCTCCGCCCCAAATTTATGAAAATGGGACCTAGCTACTTTTGCCAATTGATTTTAAGAGTGCTGAGACAGCAGATGTCTGAGGCACTGAGCTCCCTAATACTGTTCTCAGCTCTATAAGGGACGCAGTCAGGTCCCTCTCTGCCTTGAAAATGTCAAGAATGGCTAATATCAAATAACAAAAGAAAAACAGACCTTTTTGACCTTTTGGGGGTTTTTCATACGACGACACTTTCTAATGTCCATTTCTGTGGTGTTCACGCAGCCTGGCTGAAAAGAGATAGTAATAATATTAATCTTTGCTGTTTACAGTTGAAGTGCTACCTTGCCTTTCTAAAATATCTTATTAGAACATCTCCAAAATTCTTTCCTTATGTTTGTACCCCATAAATTATGCTTATTAAACAAGAGAGTGCATATAGCTAAGTTGGCATCTCAGCATCAAATCCATTTACTCAGAACTTTGGCACCAAAAGGACATAGCTAAGAAGAGTTTTTCTGAAGAAAGTCTGAGCCAAACTAGTAGAACTCTTTCTCTTTATACATACTACAACAACAAAAATCCAAAACTTCACATTTATCCTATATTTCCAAGTCAGCAGTTCCAGGCACTAAAATGTCTACATAATCATCTAGAAGGTCTATGATAATCTTGTAGAAACTTGACTTTTCTGAAGGACATGGAAAATGGTGTCTTTAAAAGCAACATCCCAATGCAGCTCATGGCACAGTGTTTACCAGCATTAAAACCTTGTCAGAACATAGGCAGTCTTCATCTTTGTAAAATAACTTTACCACAGGCCTGTGCACGTCCCAGAATGCTCTTTCCTGGCTGTCCAAAATTTTTCTTTCTGTTTTATCCTTTTTCCTGTCGATCCTGAAAACAGAAGCATAAACACGAGAAAGGGCTTCAAATTGCTTTCACAGAGAAAGGAGTGAAAAACTGTAGATTTTGATTACAAGTAGAAGACGATTAAAAAAAAAAAAAACCTCCAAATATTAAGTTTAAGCAAGTTTCACATAAGTGGTACCCAGTTCTCCACATTAAGTAGCACAAACTAGACTGCTGAAAGTTCAGGTACAACTGAGTTGACTAGGAACTGGTATAAACAAGAAAAACAGAAAAACAGTCTGCTGGAAATGCCACCTTTCTATCTACTTTGAAATGACAGTATTTTTAATTCTGGAAATATTTTACAAATATAGAGTAACATACATAGAGGACATTTTTTTCCTTCTTCTTTTCTTCTGTACGAAAGTACTATATGAAAGCAAAAGCAGAATGGGCAAGTAAACTGCCCCAACTCACATGATGAATCAATAAGATATTAAGAAATCAGGCCCAGGAATTCCTGACTCACCAGGTTACACAGATAATTAAATTCATCTTTCAGTGTCTGCCACAAACCTTGAGAATTCGCTCTCTAGCGTTTCTAGCCTGTCTGGGACTAAAATTTGCCAATAACTTTCGAGTTGCAGTAAAGCCCTTGACAGAGATATTTTATCTAGCATCCCCTGCCCAGTGCTAAGTGCTGCTGCAGTTCGGCACCCCACGATTACTTACTTCACTTGGGCCTCTGCTTGCATGAAGATAAACTCCCACTTCCTTGCAAATGCCCTCTGAAGTCTTGCCAAGTTTTCCTGACAAGAGATGAAAATAGACAGAACAGTTACTCCTGGTGAGGGCTTAGGAACACTTACCATGTTGGGCATCTACACTATCCTTTCCCCCCGCCCCTTTTTATTTTTTTTTAATATAGAAAATGCAAGACATGGAGGTTAGCACTGGTTTCAGTGAAAAGCAAGCTTGAGACACCTCCTCCCAAGCCTCCCCAAGGCTGCAGCTAAGAGGACACCGTCAAGCAGAAGTAATGGGGTGCAATGAAGACAGCCAGAGTGCTAGCAATAAAACAGCATTGGACTCGTTCCCAAAAGATAACACTCAGCAGCTCTGCACAAGTGATGACTTGCGCTTCTGCTGGCAGATGGCGGCCACCTGCAGGTCTCGTGCTCTCCCCCAGCTCTCCCTTCCCGCCCAGCCCCAGCTCTCTCCTCCCCAGGCGTTCGCGGAGGCGCGAGGCCGAGCGTCCCTCACCGCGGGCAGCCCAGCGCTCACTTCGGGAACGGCCGGCGCGATTCCGGGAGGAAACAGCTTATTTGCCTGAGCAATGACAACACCTTGCAGCCAGGAATAGATTGAGATGTAGCCTTGCTCTAACCCTGAGGGAAGAGCTCTTGACCAGAGCCAACATTTGGAGGTGGATCTGACTTGGTCAGAGTTCCAGGCTGAACTCATGGCACGGCCTGAATTTCAGACTCAGGGTCACACTCAGACTCACCTCCTAGACAGCACCCCAAAGTCACCTACGCACACGCACTCTGAACATGCAAGTTTTGCAAAGGGATAAGACACTATTAGGGCTACTGACATTCCTTTCATACTTACTGCCTTTATTTTAAGAAAGTGCTTAAGCATATGCATTTCAAAACCAAAAGCAGTCTTCAAATTATTTATTCTGACCTCTTGTAAACATAAGGCTTAAAGCTTGAGCCTGTTACCACCAAGTCCACACGGGAGTTTCAGTCCATACGCATGGAGAAACAAATGATTTACAGCTCTCCTGGACAGCGATGATTTTCTTAACTGCAGCTATGGGGAAGAACTTCTTGCAATATCTGCAAAAGCTATTTTCTGTGGGTTTGATTTTTTTTTTTAATTATTTTAAGTTATGTTCGTGTGTGCCCTCTAGAGTAAATATGCTGAAAACAATGAAACACCACCCAGTGAAGCAGTACCTATGTTTGGCCAATAAGAAACAAAATTAAATGCAATTGTATGAACTCAATCACACAATCAAGACCACTACTCTACCAGGAGAAAATCAGAAGATCTATGAATGACACAAGCAGAATTGAACATGAGATGAAGTGTCCTGGGCTGTTTTGGACTGATCCTCTTAGGAAAGCCCAGATCAGTGCTTGTGGAGAAGCCACCTATGTCTGCAAAAACTTGTACTAAAGGTATGGGACTCTTTCCTACTCCCGTAAACTTGTTCCTCTTGCACTCGGTGCACATCTCCATTGCTACCCTAGCTTCAGCTCTTGTAATGAGTAGGAAGGGTTGGTGCCATTCTTATCTCATGGTCTCTAATTAAGAGAGCAAAATTTGCATGCAGAAGCCATCTCTAGCTGGGCAATGTAATCTTCACAAGAAAAACGAGACTGCCAAGATCTAATTATTGCCATCACTGGAGCATTACTACTCTCTGTAGACACGGATGCACAGAAGTACTTAGCCAAGGCCGCACTGCATGTGTGGGGGTGTTTGTGGGCTGCTGAACAGCCTTTTGTTGCTTTCTGATAGATCTTTAGAGTACTCACAGTTAATTGGTTTGCTGTGAGCAATTTTAATTGTTTTAATAATGAAATAAAAAAACATGCAGAAGGAACAAGTCAGCAACAGAATGTATAAATGCACCGGGCTTTTCTATTCCTTACATTATATCTGTATACCTAAAGATTGGCAGACTTGAGAACCATGCATACATTTCTAGGATGGACAAGATAACTGGCAAATATTGCATACTCTTCACTGAGAGTACTAAAATATGTATGTGTCCTTCTGCCCGAAAACCCCCAAATTCAGAACTTAAAGAAGGGAAAAAGTTAATTCTTGGAAAAAGCCATAACACATATGCAATACGTTTTCATCATAACGAACATGAACATACAAGGCCACTAGAACCAGCTCCATAAACTTTTTTCAGTCTGCTGAAAAAACCCTGCATTTGAAATTCATCTGTGATGCTGGCGGCTAGTAAATAAGACCTAGGTAATGAGAGGAAACACAAGTTCAGCTGGCCGGCCTGTTACCCTGCCTGCACCTAAAGAAACTCCCACCAACGCTGCCTCTCCTACTCCATCTTCCCATCCTCTCCATCCAAACTCTGTGCAACTTAAGTCGAGGCTGGGGAAAGTTTTTAGTGCAATAATTTTGTAACAGAAAACACTCCCTGAACAAGCCTAATGAACACATTTCATATGGTGTATTGAAAGCATAGGCCAAGCTGAATTTCTGAAAACTTTCTTTCCAAGGTCTGCAGAGACATGTCATGGGTCATCAGGATTTAATTGCCCAGCAATGCACCGAAAATCCATCATTTCAGTGTGTTAGTATTGGCTATAAAACAGGAACTGGAAACAGGAAACAGATGTAAATGACTATGTAATTTGTCTGTCTCGGTGGGCTGTATGATAGGTACACTGAGACACTGCAAAGTCTATGTCAGGGACATGCCCCCTTCAAGAGCCTGATTTTTTTTTTTCTTTTTTCTTTTTTTTTTTTTTTTTTTGCTCTCTTCCCC